CGTCAAAACCTGGCTGTGCCGGCAGGCCTGGGGTTGATGAGTTCCCCTCCCCTCTCTACTGTTATGGCTGTGTGATTTTCATGCATTTTAATTATGTGTACTGTTGTTTATGTTCCCTTTCCCCCCTGAGTTGTTCGCCGCCCTGAGTGCCTCCTGGAGAAGGGCGGCATACAAATAAACCAAATACAATACGATACAATACAATCATCTGTCTCTCAAACTGAATTCAAAACAATGAGTTTTCTGCTTCTCGGCCCTGTGTTGAAAAATTCATTTCCCGTATGGCTATCCAAGGCAGCCCTGATGGCTCTAGACAAGTCTCGCTTGTTTAAGTTGTCTCTATTTACTATGTCTTGTAAGTCTCACCTTGGATTTGGGTGAGCCAATAAGGCTGCCTGTAATGTTCAGAAGCAATAGTCAGGGTATTCAGAAAGACAAGGAGCAGGACTATCCAGTAGAAAGTCACAGATTTGACAGCCAAACGACATTTCTTCCGAAAAAGTCGGTTGATGCGCTGAACATGGCGTCTGGAGCACAAAAGAAAGAACAGAAATTATTGAACAGCCTAGGGACAGGGCAAGAATGGAAAACTAGGCCGTTGTTATACTCACCCAAATTTGGTCTTGGAAAACTTTCGTCTGTGAAAAACAGAAATTTAGTAAAAACTCAAAATGAATTCTTCGGTTAAAGCTGAAAGACCCAAAGAGAAGTTACAAATCTATCTGGGGTGCTATGGAAATGGCTCAAAATGAAATTCCACAAATCATCATTAATACACTCTTAGAACAGTGTTTCTCAACCAAGGCAACTTTAAGCCCTGTGGACTTCAACTCCCAGAATCCCCCAGCCAGCATAGCTGGCTGGGGAATTCTGGGAGTTGAAGTCCACAGGACTTAAAGCTGCCAAGGTTGAGAAACACAGCTCTAGAACATCTTTTCTAAATACAGAATCAATAACCGTTTTGTAAAAATGGGCTCTCGTCCCATAGGTATGGCAATCCATGGCCACATGCAGACCCTTCTGTCATCTGTTTGAGACCCCTAAAATCTGCTACCAGAATGATGATTTCCAGCTGCACATTTGGGATGGCAAAGTATGGGTGATGATAGGATCTCTATATGGTAAAACATTTCATTTTGCTCCTCCTTTCCCTCTCCGACTGAGAGTCTTCAATCAAATCCTGAACATTTGAGCCTACTTCTTTCAGTGGAATGAGTGAAAGGTCTTCTGCAGGTTGCCATCTATCCAGCAGGATGAGTTTCTGCCTTGCCTCCCCTCCCTATTTAAAGATATTGCTGACCTTTGGCCTACACATAAAAATGCGGTGTGGCATAGACATTCTGATGCCATGAATAGAGACTTACATTTTTCCTTTTATCATATAAGCAGGTTACTTTTCTAGAGGCCAGTTTAAAAAAAAGAAGGGAAGAACAAAACAAAGTAACACCTCTGAGATAGCAACTTTGGACAGGGATTTTTCACAAGTAGGCTTCAGCAAGAAGGCCATATATTCAGCATGTCCTTTTGCCCAGCAAATTTGCTTAACTAGCCTATTAGTTAATAGAGGGAAGAGTTCAGTCTGCAGTAAGAAGTGCTTATTGAGGCAAGATTTAATCAGAGACATGAGCTGCAGGTTTAGGAGAAGATAGCATTCTCTGGAGGATTTCTTCAAGGCAGACAAGAATATTTAAAAGAGTAAAAACTAAAATCAGTTTAAAGCTAAAACCAAAAATTAAAATCTGATCAGTTATCAGATAGAAAGCCAAACAAACTGTCACTTAAAGAATCATCTTCTAAATCAGGTTGTGTCCAAGCTTGGCAACTTTGAGGATGTCAAAACCCAGAATTTCCCAGCCAGCTAGATGGTGAATTCTGGAAGTTGAAGTCTTCAAGTTGCCAAGGTTGGACACTCCCATTTTAAACGTTGGTTGCTTGTCTTATTTGGCACTAGAGTGGAATCTAAACACTTGATCTTAAAATTCAGAGCATCCCCGAAAGACTTAGGTGGACTTGATCCAAGAATGGAAGACTGAAAACAGATTAGGGACTTTGCTTTCTCAGTCCATCACTCTGAGATCCTTTCAACAGGAAATGCCAGGAACTAATCCCCAAAACTCTTACCCCAGCAGAGAAGATACTCAAATGGGGGGGGGGGGAGGCAACAGGAGGCAACCTTTTGGATTCCCCATTAGCTTCCTAGAAGAGTTAACTTGGCCTGTAGAACACTAATAATTAGCATTGTCCTGCAGTTCCCAGCCCTCCTCTCTGTGGCCAGGCAAACTCACAAACACACATCATAGCAGTGGCTCTGAAGGTGCTCTTCATCTTCAACGTTCTCCGTGTTGACCGAGGTACTTTCGCTGGCAGGAAGACTGGCTGGGGAGAGAAAAGCAGATGAGATGTGGGTTTTTTTAACAACTCCAAGTTCTTCTTGCAGTATTTCTGTTCACAAAGACATCTGCCGCCATTGAAACCATAGGATTGACTCTTCCTCAGACCATCAGTTTGATGCCTTTATGATATGCAGAAGAAAGGGAGACAGGAAATACACTGCCCTCCCATGAACAGACTTTTCAGATTTTTTAAAAAGTTGCAAATTTTCAAGGCAACGTAAACAATCAACTTAAATTCCCTTTCAAATTACATTATATTTTCCAGATATTTAGGAATGAATGCAACTATAATATCTATATGCTTAATACAGGTAGTCCTCGGCATACGACCACATTTGGGATCAGGCTTTCCAATGCTAACCAAAGCGTTGCTAGGGGAGTCATGCCCAATTTTACAATTTGTGCCATGGTTGTTAAACAAATCGCTATAGTTGTAAGTGAATTGTGAGGTTGTTAAGCAAATCCAGTTTCCTCCATTGACTCGTTGGGAATATCACAAATGGTGATCCCATGACCCTGGGAATATTGCAATCATCGCAAATACATGCCGGTTGTCAAGTGCCCGAATTCTGGTCATGTAACCATGGGATGCTGCGATAGTCATAAGTGCGAGGACTGGTTGTAAGTCACTTTTCAGTGACGTTGTAACTTTGGACATTAAATTACCCATTAGGATTACTCATTAGGATTACCCATCATGTATTCTTTGGCTGTTGGGCATAATTCAGTTTCATCAGCTTTTACAATGTTATTATTTTGCAATGGAAGTACAGTACATACATACTAGTTTTAATTATTTAAAGCGTCAAAAGCCTTTTTATCCCTTTATCTGTTCCTCTGTTACCTTTTAGAATTAAAAAGTGTAATCAGAGACTTTATAAATAATAGATCACAACTGCTGGGAAGATTGAATGAGCCAGAGTTTCTTAAATGAGACACTGCAGATTGAACCAGGGGCTGTGATATCGTCCTCATGGATCCTGTTTGGCCACCAGACCTGGAAACTGGCAGAGAGTATCCTATTGCTGCAATTATGCCATAGGGAGAGGAAAGACACATTGGGGAAAATGGAAATAGATAGGAAAATTCCCTGGGAGAGGAAAAACACTTGGATAAGGAACTGCCATAAGGGCATTCAGTAAGAAAAATCCAATAATCAATCAAAGTCAAAGAAATAAAAATAGAAGAACTCAGCATAATTACCAAATGGGCTTGTGAAATCAACAGACTTCATTCTATAGAATGAAGCATAGATGAGGAATGAGGTGGAAAACATAGGATCTACATCTTTCTCTGCTTAGCCCTTAAAGAAAACTAACCATGTACACAAAGGAGTAAGAAAACTTTGAAAATTACTGTGGCTCTCGGAGGAATGGCTGCCATGCCTGAACCATTTCTTCTTCCTCTTCTTTTCCATCAGGTCGGCCACAGTAACGTCTTCCACAAAGAAGGCACAGGTGAGAGAAAGATTGGAAAAAAAACATGAAGGGAGGAGGGATGAATAGGAAAGGGAATTATTTAGGATGGGAATGGATGGAGAACCATAAACGATGAGAGCCAGTGACAGAAAAGAGGAAATGTGGTGAGCCCTCCTTACAAATGTCTTCTCCATTTCTTTCCAAGCTATTAGAACGAAAAAGCTTGGAATTTCAAGAGTAGAAGCAGCTGTCGCTACCCAAGGTCCCTTCCATTTGGGTAGTGATAACTAGAGGTCTTCAAACAGAGAATGAATTTGGATCCTGAACTAGAAAGGGCTTTGAGTAGATGACATTTAAAGTCCCTTTCAACTCTATGATTCCATTTGTTTTGAGTTCACCGACAAAAGGGCGACCAACAAAAGCGCGCCCGACTAAACCGCGGTGACAAAACCGCGAGTTCTAAACCGTGCCGATGAATGAGCGCTGAAGCGTGCCAACAGCACGCCAACAGAAGCGCACTGTAAACCTAACCCTAACCCTAAACCTAACCCTTACATTCACTTAAATTGAGCTTCTGTCGGCGCGTTGTTGTCGGTGCGCTATTGTCGGCACGTTGATGACGTCGCAGTTTTAGCGCCGCGGTTTTGTTGGCGCGCTTTAGTCGTGCGCGCATTTGTCGGGTCACGTTTGTTTTGTGCCTATTCCTCTAGATTCCATACATACCACAGGTGGGCTCCTACCAGTTCAGTCCGGTTCGCCCGAATAGGTATTAAAAATCTAGCATACCTTTCCGAAACGATAGTAATGGCAGCCTGGCCACACCCCCGAACTGGTTGCCTGGTTACCGCTTGCTCGCCCCG